TTTTCCATCCCTCCCGTACTGCCCCGTCTCTCTCTCTCTCTCTCCCCGTCTCTCCCTCTGCTTCAAGTCCGCCTCTATTTTCTTCCTTATTTTTGTGTTTTTCATCACTTTCTTTTCCCCTTCACACCATCTATCCTTTCTCTTTGCCTTTCTCTCGTTGTTCCTCGTCTCCGTCACGTCACGGAACGATTAATCTCTAGATGAAGCTTCAGACAGGCAATATCATAAATCTTGTGAGCCTCTATAGTTTGAAATGTATAATTTGCAGTGGTGGAGACTAAGGGTATTAGCTCCACCTAATCCAAATTATTCTGTAATCATCATTAGTGTCTCTACACGACCAGTGAAAAGAAGAAAAATGGGTGTCCATCTCGCATTCAAGTGTGGCTCCTGTGATTATCATTAGGCTTGTTTGTGTAGTGTGTTGGTTTTTGAGGATGTAGAGGTGGAAGAAAGAAAGAGAAAGACGGGAGGAAAAAAATAGGAGATGTCGTGGAAAGCATTTCTCGAGTGTTCGTGTCGTCGATGAAGTCATTATGATCTTAGCAGAAAGAACAGTATTGGGGAATGTGGCCATTAATCTTTGCAATAGTTTTTCGCAGCAGATTAGGTCTTGAATTGTATTTGGTTTGATGGATGGGTGTCGATGAATGGGAAAGGGGCTTGTAAATCGACCGATCATTTATTATCTAAACACGGAGAACGCAAGACAGGTAGCAATGGCTTGGTCCAAGATGGACAACAATACAGAAGGAGCCTTTCACATATGGTTCGTTTAGAAACTGTGATTTTAACCTTTTAAGGACCTTCCAGGATTGAAGCATGATATCCTTCTAGAGACCCCTTTAACCTTCAATCCATTCTTCTTGCAAACCTTCGCAGTAACTCAGTTTTTAGATGTCATTATATAATATTTGATGCACTTCTATCAATAAGATAGCCTTGAAGAACTGTGAAACATGGTTCATGAGCATTATTCGGGGCAAGAATACTTCTACTTCAGTTATTTTTATGGGGTAAATGAAATCTCATTTAAATCTTCTATGATTCTCAATAAAACTTACGTTCATGACATAAACATATGACATGTAGGTATGTGTACATTATAATTACCAGAATATAAGATTTTATGCCAAAAAGCTTGTCTTCAAGACATTTAAGCATAAATCACGAGAAACTGACCGTTGTGAACTTTTCCCCACATGATTATTTGAAGATGACCACTCCAAACTGACCATTAGTGTCCCTGGCCATCATTAGAAAGTTTGTAAATGACCATGGTGCCCCAATGACCATTGAGGAACCTCCTTAAAGTGTCTGCTTAATGGATTCAATCAATGGAGAGAAGGAGGAGGGATACTTAGAGGTGGGAGGGATGGGGAGAAAGGAATCTCTTGTTAATCAGAGAAAAGAGTTTGTGTCTTCTAGCAAAGCTTGTTTACTGGAAACAATTCTTTGAGCTGAAAGGCGTAATGGTATTTGACTCAGATTGTAGGTTGTTAAGAGGCTGTATCCACTAATCACCAATCCCAAAAGCAGTGTGTGGTAATCATTAGTCAAAGGGCTCTCTGTATCCCTGCTTTTCATTCAATATGTGTTTTGACACACAGTGACATGTACTCGGGCATTGAATTCCTCATATACTGTAAAGGCGGAAATATTTGCGGTACATTAATTTTCACGGATTTCGCGCTAAGATCGGCAAGCACAATTTTAGAACTCGTGAAAATATAAGCATGACTTCTTCTTGACTTGTTGACTTCTTTAGAACGGGCTGAATTGCATGCATCACAATTTTAAGAACCTGCGAATATGTTTTGGAGATGCTCAGCGCAAAAATTTAATCACACGAAAATAACAGCGTTTACAGTATATCAAAGTTTTGAGGTAAATAGTTATCATTGTATTAACTAATGTTGGATCAAGATTGTAATCAAAATTTGGGTTATTCCAATAATACCTTAGGTGGTACTCTGCACATTTACCTGAGTATAACTTGTAATAATGAACTTACTTGGCCAAATGATCAATTTTAATGGTAACCAGAAAATTAAGAGTGAATTTCACTGCTAAAATTTTGATCAGATAAGTCCAACAAATTTCCTCTTCGATAGTCCGATGTGGTTCATTTTTATTCAGTGAAATACACATCTACAAAGCATTTGTCAAATGTGATGCATACATTGCTGAAATACTTCACTTCTCAGAAACATTATGATTTCTCTGTAAGTGTAAGATAGATTTGACTCTATTAATAATGGACTTCTTGTTTTTTTGCATTTCTGGCCTTTACTCCGAGGAATTACATCAGGCTGTCTATTTCAAGCAGGTTCTTTACCTTTGTAGAATCGTTCCCATTTTTGATGAGAATAGATTTGGGGGTGTATCGGTCAGCGGGGACCCTAACCCCCACCCAGACCGGTCCAACAATGGCTCTGGTCCTGTTAAAAGCGCCCTACAATGGTCCTTATCTTCCCCCTCGGACAGTGATGAATGGTTTTTATTGAGCCCACACAGTATTCTTACCACGGTGAACATGCTTGAGCTTTTAATCTTATGTGATTACACAGCTTTGGATTCCTATTTTTCTGTCAATTTCTTTAGTTCTTTTATTTCTTTCTTTCTTCTCTTTTCATTCATTCTTTTTCTTTTCCTCTCTGTATCTTGCTATATTTGTCCTTTTACTGGACTCCCTTTTTTGTACCTATGCTCCTTCTCTTTCAACCCTTTGATGGGTTACAGTCTAAGTTGTATGTTTATAATCAAAAGTTATAAATGTATAAAATGATTTTTCTATTCATTTTATGGAGGGTTGGTCAATGACTCTTCATAAATGTATTTCAGTTTAAAAGATGTATAAATCATAACCATGATGGACATAATTTCAATAGTGTCAAGAGGGAGTATGGTTTGGGTATTGATTGAAGAAATCTTAAATTGTTAGTTCAGACTTCAGTCATAAGATAACTTTGCCATCAATGGCAACTACCATGGTAACAGGGCTCAACAGCCAATCAAAATCAAGGTTTCCATGGTAGTTACCATTGATGGCAAAGTTACCATCAATGGTCAGTTTTGTGCAACGGGCCCAGAGTGCATAAGAATTATATTTCTTGTCTTGTTTCATGCTTAATACAGATGTCATTAATTTTGAAAAACAAGGGATCTATTTTGTAATCGTGATCAATAACATGTGGTTATTGCTATAAATATATTTCCTTAAAGTTCTGAAGTAATGTACTTGTATATTGAAGGTTTGTATGATATGAAAAGTATAGAAGCACAGTGACTGGGTGATTTGAAACAAAATAGAAGAACCATTGAAATCCATTGAAATAAGTACATGTCATCTACCATTGAATTGGGATTCAAATCTTACTAATGATGCTATTTCTGATGCTATTTCTACTGTAATTACCCTGTTCAATGAAGCTTCTTAAGCAGGGCATTTAGGAGTTTGAGTCAAAGCAAAGACGCTCGTCAGCATCAAGCTCAGCTTGCTGGGTTTGGAGCAAGTTCACATTGCTAGGTGTATTTTATTCAGGGTCTATTTTCAGAGACGCACAGCCCCTAATACATTACAAAATATATGCAGTTCATGTAATCTTACATAGATCTGAACACATTTGTCACTAGCTCCAAATAGTGTTTTTCCATAGTGGCTGTATCATTAAGAACATAAGTGAGAATTGATTGGTATGGGAGGGGGGGGGGGGATGACACAAGTTCAATTGTTTATTATATTGCCCTGTTTTCAAATGCTTTCATGTTTAGGTATGATTTTTTTTTTTGTTGCTATGAATATATACAGTGCCAACTATTTGATACTAGATCTTTCTTTCTTTGTCTTTTTTAAAACTTCAAATGGAAGTCACTCAAGTCAGAGTGCATGTTGAATTTGCTGCACATATGTTGCTATGCCAGACAGTCATTTTACTTTGATCATGAAAAGCAGTCTTTGTTTTTAAGGAGAGAATTTTGTTTAATTTAGAGAAAGATTCATGGAATGGTCTATTGTCAAACTGTGTCCGGACAGTCTCTTTTGTGGTACAGAAACATTGAAGTTTAATTATTGCAACTATCTGCATATTTTTTTTGGCATGATAATATTTGCATTGTACACATCAGATAAGGATCATATCAACCAACCCCAAACTATTCTATATCTGTGTGAACAGGCAAGAAGTATCCTGGTAGTACATCATAAAAGAGTCATTATTAGTTGAATTTGTGTCTTACATAATGGAGTAGATTGATTGTAAGACAGATTAAGACAAATTTTCAGATTACTCCACTCACCGGCCTAATACTGTGTTCCTCAAGTGCTCTTCGCTATTGTGTCTACTTGGGTCTTATAGAAGAAAAATCCCTGCTGTAGGTCCCGGCGTAATATCAAGTTAAAGTAGCCTTAATGTGGAGCCAGGAAGATCACGGCCTCTTGTTCATTCAAAAGAATCACTTCTTGTTTTGTGCTCGGCTTTTGAGGAGATGACTCCTTCTTTTGTCGAATAGTGCGTGCTTGATTTGAGTCGATGTAAAGAGAATACTTAGAACTTCTGATTTGGAGCCTGTTTAAGAGATTTAGGCTGATTTTCTAGTGTTTTGTTATTATCTTGCTTAGGTGGACTTGGAGTGTAATGATGGCTTTGCAACTGTTTTCCAAATAAAAGTATCAACAGATAGATGATGGAATGAGGAAAGAGTAATAATTCTTCCCATCAATTACCTGTGTTATCACAGTTTGATCATTGATAGTCAGAAAGGCATTAAGGGTGTGTTTATTAGAAGTCAATGAACTATTGCCCCTTTGACTCTTTAAACAAAAAAAAACAGTCAACAGTTGTAACAACAAAAACAGTCACATAAGCATTTTTTCAGCAGTTCCTTTTTTTCATATGTGATATTATGGTATTGATATGATTCTCAAGCTTAAAGTAAAACATATGTTTGTAAGTATTAAATATTATGAATCTAATTATGAAAGTGACTTGAATTAACAGGATTCCTCCATCAGTGATAGTAACGAGGACCTAACCCATGAGGTACACCAGGTAATAAGACTCTAAACTTTTCAAAAACCTTGACACTTTCGCACCAAGCACACGCCTTGCCGACTATTGCACCAAGGAATGATTCACCGAGATTGCATATATATAATAATCAAAGTCAAATTTCACATTTTGAAATAAAGTGTGAGGTTCGTGCAGCCTTATGTATAAATCTTTTTCAGATGGAGGGCACATTAATTTGCAGATTTAATTTGGGTAATTTTTCTTCCCTTGAATATAACGACCAGTGATTAAAATTTATCTTACTGAAATACCAAACATGTATTTAGTACACCTGTAAGCTATTATTTAGTTATAAATGATAATGTCCAAATTCCCAAGGTTTTGTTTATAGACAGTACGGTTGAACAGAAATAGCCATCTTGAGTGTAAGAAAGCTATTTTGAAATTTGTATTAAAGCTGCATTTGGTAGCTTTCATAAATGACTTACAAAAATAGAACTTTGTCAAAGGCAAGTTCCATAGAAAACAAGCTTTTAATGTAATCTTGCATACCGGTACATACTATTTTGAAAAAACTAGTCATGATTTAATTTATTCAAACAAAACGATTTTCCACTTTATAAAGGCATTTGCGGATTTATCTTAATGACAAAGTGCCTTGAGCATTTAATTAAAATGGATAATGGCGCTATATAAATCTCATGTATTATTATTATGTATGAATGATAATTTTTTTAATTTTTATCCCAATTAATGAAGATATTGATTTTCAAATAATGATCGTGCCCCACTTAGAATTTCCTATGAACTACATGTATGGCCCTAGTACTTAAAAAACACAAATAAAACAAATATTGTATATATTATAGCATGATAGAACATTATTGGCACTTCTAATGTTTGCAATAACACAAGGTGGAACTCTGATGTTTACTGATCAAGTAAAACGTTTTCATTTGCATTGATGTAGTGTTTTTCCTGGAACTCACTTTGCTGTGCATGTAGGTTAACAGAAGGACATTACTTGGAACATGGTAACAGGAAGACAAAACTGGAAATATTGGATAAAGGAGTAACACTAATGTTTTTTTGTTTATGTGTGTGTGTGTGTGTCTTTGTGATTTAACTAACCATACTCAATTTATAGATGTAAATGATTTTTTTTGCCCCTTCATTTTATTTATGTTAATTATTTCATGTGAAGTACAGTGAGAGAGAGATAGAGAGAGAGAGAGAGAGAGAGAGAGAGAGGGAAACGGGAGAGAGGGAGGGAAACGGGAGAGATTGAAAGAGGGAGAGAGAGAGGAAAAAAGAAAAGGAGCGAAAGAGAGAGATAGAGGGAGAGAGAGAGAGAGAGAGAGATTGAACAACAAAAAAGAGAGACGAAGAGAGGAAAAAAAGAATGGTAATATAGAAGAAGAAAGAGTTTTCAAGGGTGTTTTTACACCCCCACACCCTGATTCAGAAACACACCTGATTGGATCCGTCACCACTAACATCTTCACCTTTTGTAAACTTATGTAACTTTTACCTAAAGAAATCAATGTGTGTGTGTGTGTGTGTATTGGGTTTTTACAGACGTGTATCAATCAGATATGATTATTTACGTCTGGGACCGACCTTTAAACGTCACCATCCGAAAGACGTGACTCAGTTTCGAACCTGAGTCCTCGGCTGAATCAGTTTGTAACTTCCACTTTTTAGCTGGATTACAGGCGCACGCCACAACGCCTAGTTAAAAATGGTTTGGAGTTAGAAAGTGAACTGAAGGTGGCGCTGTAACATTTAATTTTCCAGGAGAATAAAAAGAAAAAGAGAGGAAGGATCATCTGTTTATTTTCTTCAACATCACTTTACTGCTGTCACATTGTCACTGTCATGGAAGAAAAGGCTTTTTTAATGTTGTTTACTTTACCATGAAGCCAAGGTTATTGTGAAAGATTTCAGTGATGGTTTATAACTTTATATCTTTTCTTTCCTAAAATTTGTGTTTTGTTTTTTCTTCAACCAATAATATCAAATAATGTTTTGTAATTTCAATATAAAAATAAACTTCAGAACGGATCATGACCATAAATTTTGTTTATACTAATTTGTGAAGATCATTACTGATTGTGCATCACATTGCTTTTCCGTCTTATCTTTTTAATGACTCTGGATCTTGTTTACATACCTCAACTGTACAATGCGCAAACCCCAAAAGAGTTTTATTTTTTTAAAGTTATTATTGAGCATGTCTTAAATGTGATTACAGTGTTTATTAGACATACCAAGTAAGTGTATAAAATACTGAACAAATTTCTTAATGAAATGGTTTGTTTCACTTCATTATTCCATGCTTACTCAAAGGATTTAACCGAATCCGTATCATCGGACACGTTACGGTCCATAAAGTCCACTAGTAGTGGAAACTCATATCCAGACACCCCAGCTAAGGTAACAGACAAGTTTGAGAATTCGCTCTCGTTCGTGTTCTGCACTTTAAATTTCCTTTTTTCGCTGCTTCCTCTTCTCATTGCTGCGGTGTTGCTTCATGGTGCTTTGGTGACGGAAGAAATGAGCAGCAAATTTGAAAGCTGGAGTGCCTATTTGTTTTCTTTTCTCGATTTAAAAATTTGACATGCTTTTATTTTCTATTATTTTCTGTTTCTTTTAGTGGTTTTACAGCATTCTTAGCTATAAGTCATATTCACACAAGTATTCAGAAGACAGGCTCCAAAATGGATGCTTTTTAAAAAATATTCTAACTTTAAAATTGTATCAATCACTACATAAAGTGTGGACTTTCAAACATTTAAATGTATGAACCATTAGCTTGATGCCCTTTTTAATATGACAATGGTTGGACAAATTCTGTATGAAACACTTTCCATAAGATGTCACAAAGTTAAATGTAGATAGGTTTTTGGTGGAATTGTTTTCCTAACCAAGGGGAAATAAAGAGGAGGGGGGTGGGGGTGGCAACCAAAGTTTACAGCAACATTTTGATTCCTCTCAAGTTTGGAAATTTAATTCTTTGAATCACCTAATATAGTTGAAAAGCTTGTACATGCTTACAATTTCTGCCCTTATTGTGTGAATATGTCTTCATAAAGGTGTTCTTGTGTCATTTGAATTGTAAAACAACTATTTTAGTGCTGAACTCTTCTTTGTCTTAGTAAAATTCTCTTTATCATTTGTATTTGTGTGAATATTATTCTTTTTTTCTCTCTTTCAATTTTTTCTTTACATTTTTTTTTTTACTATGCTTTAAAACAAAATTACATGTATATATATTTATTTCAAACTTGGGTTTTGATGACTGTACAGTTATGCTAGTTTTCTCTCGTGCAAATTTTAATTTTGCTTTCTTTCTTTCTTTGTTTCTTTCTTTACATTTTGGTGTTTTTACAAGGTTGTTAGTTTTGTGTTTGTTTACCATGGTTATTATTTTGTATCTTTTTGCATCACTCTTTCTTTGTAATGATTTTTCTTTTCTTCTCCATCTTAATGGTAACTATGAAATTCCTAAATGTTTTTGAAATATGAAACATTTATTTTTATGTTATTCTAACTTGTATTTTAGTATTTCATTTTATTTTCCATTTGCACTTCCTCTTTTGATGCATGATAGTTCCTGATAAAAAAGTTTTGTTTATCTTTGAGGGCTGTTTTTTAATAATTGTTACGTGATAAACATCTGTTTTTTTGTATTTCCAGACAAAATCTAGGGATTGTTCTGGGGTGATTGGATGTATTTTGTGATAACCCTTGTATGATTTCTAGGCAGAAGACAGTGCCCATATTCATAAGATCGTCTGTTTAAAGCTGCATGTAGTTGTCAACTGATTTCATAGATTAGTTGACAACTATGCTTAGTAAGTTTTTATTAATATGACCCGAGATTGATCATGGTTTTTATTAACACATTCGTTTTAACCCTTTTGCAAAAAGCAAAAATAACTGTTTTAAATGAGAACAATCATTAGTAGAAAGGCATAGTGTCATTTGTACAAGCTAAACCCATGCTTTGCCCCAAATGCATATGAAAAGGGGGTTTTATTGGTAAAGAGGTGAGCTTGGTAGAGAATCGTGCTAACAAAGCATACATTTTTTCACAGAGCAACATATTTTTTCTATAAAATAAAATGTTCTTAAAAAAATAAACCTGCTATCTAAGGTAGATGGTAAAGTAGTATAACAATACTTCATATCAGACTTCACAGGATAACATGGGTAAACACTGTTGTTTTTACAATCTACTTCCTGCACAAATATGTGTCATTTGCACAAAGAGAGAGAGAGAGAGAGAGCGAGAGAGAGAGAGAGAGAGAGAGAAAGAAAGAGAGAGATGCCCCATTTTGAAGAAAACCAATCTTACATTTGGGTTGTATATGATCATCTTTTTTTTTCTTTCTAAAAAGCACCTTTCTTGCTTTACTTGGCTTTCTCCCTGATGTTCAGGGCCTTGTCTTTTAAAATGTTGCAATGTATTAAAATTGATGACAAGACCTACAGTCATTTGCAAACTTACTTTTATCTCTTATGTACAAAGCAATGGCCAACTCAGACCAATTGCCACTGCACTTAAAAGACATGGCCCTGATTAATGTCTGTCAAATATGCACTGTCATGATTTTAAAAATTCTTGATATGCACATTTAGTAAGAAAATATGTACTTGAGTATATCGGGCAGTTTGAAATTTTCTTCCTTCAATTGTGTAAAAAAATATAAATGCTGCTTTTTTCTTTAAAACGACACTCAAATAAAGTCATTTTTCCTTTTTTCACTTTATATTTTCACAAAGTTAATATCTTACTCACTCTGTTGTGCATATTCTACAGGTAATGTAGTCAATGTATCAGTTTAAATACAATATGTTCTTGTAATTTTCTGAAGAAAGTTATGTGTGATCTCTTTTAGATACTTCTTTCAATCACTTATTGCCCTATTGCCCTATTGCCCCATTGCCCTTGTTGATATGTATCACTTTAGCACCAGCATACACTCTTGCAAACTGCACTTTCACCAAACTTAATGCATGCTTTAATTCTCATCAAGGTTTTCCCCTCATTGAAAATAAAATGTGACTATTTTCGATTAGCTTAGATTGTTCATTATATTTGTACTTAAATTGTTTATTTATGCTTGACTTTGAAAGCTCTACTTCTGTCAATTATGAATTGTGTTTCATGTTCTGTTTACCAGTTTCTTCAGTTTATTTATTATTTATGTTAGATATATTGTTCTTAGCTATGTTTATTATGGGCATATCTTGACACTGCTGAATTGTTTGAATTATTTCAGGACCTGGTGGTAAGTAGCAAGAAAGTCATCAGCAGTGCCAAACAAGTTTAGTAGTAAATATTTAAATAAAATGTACAATGAATTAACAGATAAGAAGAAAACAGTCTGAACTAACTCCTACTCACATTTCAGAAAATAGATATCTTCATGTTCTTCAGTCTAGTACATAAATGCATTTGCAAGGAATTTATTCATTTTGAAAGAAGTGAATATTTTCACCAACAACTGCAAAAGGATTTTTTTTTTTAGATATCTCCTGATCATGAGATCATATACATATAATGACAGGGTCTAAATATATCTTGTTTATAGTTAATAGTGTTCTAATATATTTCTAGCAATGTTATATATGGAAATGTTGAAGAAGTTTTAACTCAAGGTAGGACTATCTCATTCCAAAAAAATTATACAGTGGAAACCTTGTTATAACAAACGCTCATAATATATATTCTGCATGGGTGTAATTTATATTCTATTGTTTTTGGGGGTCTGATCTAATAGATTTCAACTGACCAGGTAATTTTCTTTATCCCAGTGAGTTGTTATAACAAGTTTCCACCGTAGTTTGATGTCACCTGGAGAGTTACTCATTCCAGCCAGTTTCTTTCTTCCTTCCCTCCATCTTTCAGCTTGAACCCCTAGAAAGGCAATGGATGCTGGAGTCTGCCAAAGGCAACGTTCCGGTTCTCATCGGGCTACTGGATCAAGAGCCTGGGCTAGCAACGAAAAAGGTAGGTGCCCTTCCTCAAGAAAAAAAACATAGAACGTCTCCTATGTTTCTTGTCATTTTTTGTGATTTAGTGAACGCATCTTATATTTATAGAGAGACATGAGCATTGACCAATGTATGTCAAAGTTGTGTGAATGCCTGTTGGAAGAGGTAAAAGTACATGAGGTGTGTGAGTGATTGTGTTTTTAGAAGTTGATGTACATAAAATTATGTATGTTATAGACTGGATCCCAATAACATTTTGTAAAAATTTGGCCTTGAAACAGGTTAAGTAGCAAAACTAATCTAGTTCTAGGGATTTAGAATAGTTGGACTTTGTAGGATGGTAACAGCTCCTCGGTGACGGCCACTATCCATCTATATCTTTGCAATGAATAACTACAACAACAATATGAAATTTTTCGAGAAGTAAAGGACATTCATTCTGTTCTTTTTACAATATGGGCTGATTGTTTATTGGGACAGCTGTACAACTACAACATATAATGCTCTTTCACAATCTAATTTGTAGCATCAAACAATTTTGATCAGCATTAAGCAAGTCTTTACTCTGACTTTCACTAATTACTTGTAAGGTGATCAAGGTTTATTCTTCTTTTGCTCTCTGAATCGTACTCAACAATATTGACAGCAAGGTGCCTGTGGATTAGTTATCCCCTCCCCCTGAGTAATCTCCTTTATGTGATGTGGATTAACTATCAAACACCTAGACCCAATGTCAAGTGGATATGATGTAGCTGTCTCTGTGTCCCTTTGTCCCTTTGGGTCGTTGTCTCATGGTATTTTTGTTTTAATCCTAGATGTCTATCTTAGCACTGTTGATGTGTGATTTGAGGTTGCCTACCAACAAAAGGACAGTCTGCACTGTACATATACAGTGTTAGTATTTAAACAAGAAAAAAGCTATTAATTGTCTTTGTGTCATCTCTACATTTTTATTCTTGTCCCTGTCTCTTTTCCATCTCATTTGATTGTCTATATCACTTGCCTTACCTCTGTGTCTTTCTATTTCCGTTCTCCATTCTCACTTTCAGACCCACCCTCCATCCTTCTCTCCCCTTCTCTCCCCTTTCTAAAATTCTCTGTGCCTCCTCATTTATCCTCATTTATCCCCTCTCTCCCATTCTCTCCCTCTCTCTCTCTCCACCTCTCTCCCCTCTCCTCCATTCTCTCCCCCTCTCTCCCCTTCTCTCCCCTTCTCTCCCCTCTCTTCCCCCCTCTCCCCCCTCTCCCTATCTCTCCCACTTTCTCCCCTTCTTCCTCCACACATCTATCTTCCATCTACATGTCCCCTTTCTTTTAAGCAATCAATCAATCTTCTTTCTGTAAGTTTCAGATACTAGTAGAGGTCCCTTGATGTCTCCAAAAATATCTTCACACAAGGGTCTTAATTTCAAGTCTCAGTACCATCTTATGTCCACATTGTTCTGGGTGTTCTTATGACTTTGTCTAGCCTTGGCTGTCTAATATCACCCACTTCGTTGCTTGGGTGCGTTGGTGCCAGATTGAATGCGTTGGTGCCAGATTGGATGTTCCTTTTTTTTAGATACCATTATCATTTATTCTTGATGAGAGAATATCTCTTCTTTACTCATAGAAAGTCAACCCTTTTATCTTTAGCTGTGGTGGCAGAGACCTTGTCTTGAAAGGCATTGTTGCGTAGTGTTTGTAAACATTGATTAACTTGGGCCTGGGCCAAGTACAGTGATGAGGTTTAATCCATACATTCAGAAGAATAGAGGGTCATCATTAGCGTCTTTACAATAACTGGACACTTTGACGTGTAATGACATTGGAGGAAGAATCTTCAAATGCAGCTGCGCTTAGGTGGCCAGTTAACAGCCATGCATCAAGCTCCAAGCGGTGCCAGATTTGCTCTTGGCATTGTTGATGGACTCTAGTCTCATTAGATATTGTGTAATCTCTTTGTTAATAATCCTATTTCCCTTTATAACACTGAGAAAAGAACTGTCAGACCATTAGATTAAGGCATTGTAGGAAAAAAAAACCTAGTTTGGATAATTTTTTTCTGTTTTCTATACTTTGTTTGTAAACACCAAATGAGATGACACCATAGTGACAGAGTTTACAGTTAGCCATTTGTTGTCATCAGCCAGATGTAGGGGGGGAAAAGATGATAAAAAAATCTGAACTCAAGCAATGTTTCCTATCATAAATATTATCATTTTTTGTGTCAACAGTGAGGAGAGAGTTGTAGTTATAATTCCACTCATAATATGCATATTTTAGTGTCCTTAATTTTTTTTTGAATCACTTAAAGTTCACAAACAGTACCTTTAAACATCTAAAATTCCAAGCATGATAAGCTAATGAAAGAAAAACACATTTATTAATGATGAAGAGCATGTATTAAATGAGTACTTTCAGGCTTGATGCATATGTAATGACTTCATCTGTGAAACAAAATGAATGTTAAGTGCTTCCTTTAATAATAGATGCTGTAGCAACCACTTTTTATTGGAACTAGTGTTTGGTGGTGAACCTTAGGCAGTGACAGGAGCGACCAAAACCTTGGGACCTCATCCGTTGTAGATTTTAAGGACATCATGCAAAGGAATAATGCCCATTGTCTCGAGTGAGAACTTGTGTGAGTCACCGTGGTAATAGTGATTTCCTACAAATCGATGTTCGATTCATTGCTCAGTGATAGAAAGAGCTTTGAGAAGTCGATAAGACCTTTTGATCTCGTTAATTATTCATCTTTCATTGTGAGAAAATTGACCATATCATGTCAATTATTCATCCTGCTAATGCGCCGAGTTTCCTGCCCGCCACGATGTTACATCTTTCCATCAATTATCTACCATTCATCACTCAAGAGTGTCCCCAAAACGGGGCAATGTGCTACCAGTCCTGTACTGCCTGAATTATTAATTAAGAGATCAAAAATCAATTCGGGGCTGCTCCATTGTTTCGGAAGTGGCCCCTCTCGTCAGTCACGGTTGGGGAGAGTTTTTTTGGTGGTGGTGGTAGGGGCTCTACAGACCGATACACATGCTGAGGTTGATTTGGATTGATGTAAGGGGGTATTGTGCGATTGTTCACCTGTCTGGAGATCAAATTTGGATCAATACAGGAACAATGGATACCCCTTGGATTAGGATTAATCCACCAATGAAGTGACCAGACCCCTTTGATATCAGTTCATTTAAAGAAACTGGATGTGCATTGAAGCTGGACAAAAGGTTTGGAATGTCTTTCAGTTAGGAAAGATACATGGATGAGGCCATTCATATTTTATGTGCCATTCTACTTTTTATTAGTGGTGAATTTTGTAGTTACATAAAATATATTCAAATTGACTCAAATTTGAAATTGATGATATCACTTCTCATGACATATATTTCAACTCTTCACATTGGCTTGCGTTGTAATATTATAATTTATATTAAAGTCTGTACCTAGCCTTGGGCCTAATTTCATCTTTTGATAGTCATAAGGTCTTAAGTCTGATGTTAAATGATATGAATTGACGCCCTTCTGGCTCTGAACAAACAATTTATTAAAGATCATTTGACTTAAATATGCATGTAATTCCAGCAAATTTAAATTAGAATGTTTTAGAGATCATGCAGTATCTGATTGGTCAACCCTTGATCAGCTTCTGAACCCCATCTTGTAATAGGACAGGGGGTGTTTCACAAAGATCCCAAGTCGAACTTAACTCTAAGTTGGACTTAAACATTATTTAGAGACATTTGCAGCCTTAAAATAAATAAATTCAAAAGCAAAAATTCAAGTATTTTAGACTTTTAATAAATTCCACATCAAGAACAGGAAATCTCCTTGATAATCAAAAATATGAATGATTTGAATGAACATTATATGCCTTTTAAAATAACTTTTACAAAATATTTTCAAAGAATGAACATTTTATGCCTATTAAAATAACTTTTACAATATAATTTCAAAGATGCTAACAGCTTTATATAATTGTTAAGTCCAACTAAGAGTTAATTTTGACTTACGATCTTTGTGAAACACCCCCTTATCTATCAGGTGTGATTGGGGTATGTGGGAGACAGGCAGATGCTCTTTATTCTGAGGTCTTGTAAAACAGTATAGCCTCCAAACAGGTGACAAGACCTCATCAATACCCGAATGACTGACTGGCATAGCGTTGGCATTGAGGGGGTAGTAACCGCACAAGACCGCACTTTGTCTTACCAGATTACAGTTTGGTCGGTCTCCATGGGGGTTGTCCAAACCCAGCGGGAAATCTTGGCACCCGTCCCTAAATTGGTCTACCATCCACCCCCTCCCTTTGCTGATGTGACCTTCTAGGGCAATGCATGAGCGGTTACAAGCTCGACTCTAAAAATGGACCTGTCCTAAGAAGGTTAAACGCATCAAGCTATTGTCTTAAGTCTTTTGTCTCGGATCTTAAGCGTGGTGGTTTCTCTCTATTTAAGGTTATGCGGACAACTGGTGTGACATTTATTTAGCTCCGTCTAGTTATTCATTGTGAATGGTGGCAATGAATTGAAAGAGATTTGTCGTGATGATGATGTTTGAAGGCATCAAAGTATGTAACCGTGCTGTATATCACAAACTTTCAGAAGCGCCTGTAGATCTGGCATATGAGACCACATATGAGCAAAAATAGTGAACCACACCCCTCATCTAGAATAACCATTTTGTAGATAAAATGAATATATGAAAGCTCTTTTTAATTTTTTTTTTGTTTTGTTACAGTTCTTCTATCATTTTCTTTTATTTGGTATTGAATATATAAAAGTTAAATACTATACAAATTATACTTTTCCAGTATCTGAAACATGGGTTTGGAAATGGACCCCATATTATCCAATCTTTACATAAGAATTAACTAGTGTAATTCCTTTTATTTAGAAAGGGGGAAAGGTTCATGCAGACTTTAGTGTGACATGAGTCTCTACGTTGTCACAAAAAAGTAAATTGTTAAGGATTATTATAAATAGTTATGATAATGGAAAACTGCAGTAGCGACAAAAATAATGATAATGCCTACATGTATGTAAATTCACTCGTGTAAAAAGCTTGAGTCTCTGTACAATTTTTATTGAGACCTTGTTCAGCAACTGCATGAACGATTTTGAAGCGTTACTCTAGAACCAGACCAGTCTTCAGAAGGTTACACACCAAGCTATTGTCTTACATCTATTGTCTTGGATCTTGAGCATCTCGATTCTTCATTGTAGCATCAATGAAGAGAGGGTTAGAGGGAGAGACATACATACAGACAGACAGAGATACAGAGAGAGAGAGAGAGAGAGAGAGAGAGAGAGAGAGAGACAGAGATACAGAGAGAGAGAGAGAGAGAGAGACAGACAGACAGAGAGAGAGAGAGAGAGAGAGAGAGAGAGAATGAAGAGAATATTGAATAGGGGTAGCACATGATCGTTTGTAGAGTCTAGAGTGACCCCCTATTTCCAGACTTTCAACAACAAAACATTGTATTGTTCAGCCCTTTTTGCCTCAAAATAGGTACAAAATGTGCTCCAAAGATGTCCCTATTTTGGCTTTTCAAATATACATTCACAAAAAGTACCTAATTTTCGCGACATTTGCCTGATATGAAACCATGCGCAGGTTCCTCTTTGAATTATATTATTCTTTTTGGTGAAACTGCTTGCCTTAATATATAAAACATAAAATACCCTTTTTTCACATCTGCGAACATTGAAATGTTTGTGAATGTCCCCTTCTATTAAAAAACAAGAATTTATAAAATGTTCTTGCAGAATGTTTTTGTTGTTGTCGCTGTTATGAAGTATGTGAAATAATCTTGTGTTGAATGTAGAATAGACGACGCATGCAAACTGGTTAAATATGTACTATTAGATGCATACAATGTGTATGAGGAATGAATATGGCGACAGACTTCTGAATACTCAAAAGTTACGCACGAAAGAGGGGTTTGTAATCCATACTCATATCAAATCCCCAACCAACATAGTTTCTCCAAGTTAATAGATCTAATAAATCAACTCCTAATAATGAAATGATACGTCATGGAGTTAAGAGTAATCCCAGTGATCAAAATGCAAAAATCCTGGAATACTAATAAAAAGAGATATTCACGCGCAGCCTCAATCAGTATTCGGGTGTTTATCCGCGATGTCAGTCATGATGTATTAGGTCTGTAGATCTATAACACCAAGCATGAAATTAATCTACATGTGAATCCCTATGCATGTTTTTTGTGCATTCTGCTTCTGTTTTTACCCGTGACCGGGGATGCCGGGTAAGAAAATTCTATCCGGTTATAAATCACGGGAGGCGAACGATACCCCATGAATTACACACATCACCAGGGCCCGAAATCGTGGGAAGAATCTAGAAGAGATCCCCAGATTTGTTTGTGGAATAATGCAAGAGATCTTGAAAAAATATAGAAATTGAAGTTCAAGAAATGTTAGCTGTATGTTGGGTTTCAACTTCTCTATTAGATTAGATAGTGGTGGTGGTTATTTTACCTGACAGCTAAGAAAGCAATAGATGCTTGTTAGTAAGCAACCAGAAGACGGACGGCTTTAGGTCCTCACTGAGGGACCTGGTAATGAGGATTAATGCCTTACCAAAGGGTACTAGTGCATCGACTTGGTTTAGAACCCGGGTCACCGGATTACGAGACCACTGCTCTACTGACTGAGCGATCACGCCCTTTTGTAAACTAAGCATTTTGGAACTGTGACCTAAATTTGTCTTTGTACCCTTCTCTGCCAAGCAGGCAGGCACATAGTGATTTCATGATCTAAAGTGATAAAGACATGGCCATGGTATTCAGAGCATAGCTCCTCTACCAGCTATGACCTGTCATTATCAATCACCAGTGGCATATCATGGGTCAAGTCATCTATAAGGGGAGGGGGAGTATCGGAGAGGGATGGGGGCACCATTCTAATAGAGTACCGAAGCCGTGACGTCACTGCCCCCGGACGACCGCTTGACTGGCTCTACACAAAAGGTTGCTATGCGTGGCTGAACCGCTCGACGGCGTGCGTGCGGCTTTTTACATTGACTTTGCATTAGCAAATATGGACGCCATTTCGATAACAGCCTTAGCATCTTTTTTTTCAGACGAGCCGAAATCACTGCAACGAGGGGAAAACCACTACAAATCAGACCATGTAGAGAAATTTGATTATTTTCCAGGTGAACTACGAGGAGTTGTTAGAGCCAGCATGAAAGACAAAAGTTACAACGTTGTGGTGAGTTTTGTAGTTCACGAAAAAATGTCATGTCTTCACATGCACAAACACAAATATGCGCGAGTGGGACTACAGACGGTAGTCCCACTCGCGCATATTTGTGTTTGTGCAAAGTAAATTCAACGACTGTCGGGGGTTTGAAATTGAACTAGGCTTTGCAAAGTTTGTGACATGAACTCCGTGATATATTTCTCGGTTTGAATACTAACTCATTGAACATGATTATCACTTAGTCCATGCATATGATCATATCCTTTTAAAAATAAAGCAAAATAGACAAGATCGAAAGCCAGTTGCCTTCACTCCAGATTCAGAATCAGAGCTAACAATAACATAACTAAAGACAAATCACAGCTTTAGACACGATGGCCAACTCCAGTGTGCTTTACCAATTTTTTACCAAACATTTTTACCAAACATATATAATAAATATGTTTGTATTTTATTGTTTAAAAATTCTATATAATTATTACTTACATGGATGGATTACACAATGAATTAACATTATTTTTTAAATAACTTTATGACTTTAATTGGCATTTTCTGTGCTATTTTGTTATTATATTCTAATTGGTTTTCTCTTTTTCTTATTTCTCAAATTAATTTGTAGGTACAGCTGGGTGAGAAGAGCATTACCTCGTCAAGGTGCGACTGTCCGCGTGGTCACTACAAGTGCAGCCATGCAGCAACCCTCGTCATCTTTGGCATCCACAACATCAGCAGGACAGACGTTGAATGCCAGTGGCGTAAGAAGAAGGGACCAGCAACCGTTAAATCTGTTGATGAGATGTACCCGCCACCAAAGGACTATAACCCTCTTACGAGGAGTATTACCAATGATGACCGCAACTGGCTTCAAAATGAACTAAAGACTTGTGGCCAATTCACCGGGATGTACTGGCTTTTATCCCCAGAGCCTGACGTCCAGCCACTACCAGTCCCTTCTGTAGAAGAACTGATTCTTTCGCCAGCCTTCCTGAATGAGAACCTGAATGTCGATTTTCTTCTTGACAAACTTAAAATTTCTGTGCAACAGCAGCAAGCTGTCGAACGATCAACAAAGGGCCAGCGACACAACCCTGTGTGGCATCAACTCAGGAAAGGGAGGCTAACTGCTAGCAATTTTGGGGTTGTGTTGAAGGCTAAAAGAGTGACACCATCTCTTATCAAACGCCTCACAGGGACTTACAACCTTAGCGGCGTCCAATCCATCAACTGGGGCGTAATCCAAGAGGAGGAGGGCATCAAAGCGTTAAAGGCAGCCAAGCAATGTGAGGTGGTTGACTCTGGACTCTGGCTGTCCCGGTCAGGGGTACTGGGTGCCTCTCCTGACGGACTTGTTGGTGAGGATGCCATCGTGGAGGTGAAGTGTCCGTTCACTCAGCGGAATGCTACTATCGCGGAGGCGGTCGAGAGAAAAGACTTCTACATAAAGAAGAATGAAGAAGGGAGCTACAAACTTCAGGAGACCCACCAATATTGGCATCAAGTTCAAGGACAGCTCCATTTGACGCGAAGGGACCTTTGCTACTTTGTTGTGTGGACAACAAAGGAAGCACTCGTCCTGAACATCAAGAGAGATGCATCCTGGATCGACAATCTGGAGTACTTGGAGAATTTTCATCGGGAAGAGATTCTCCCTAGACTGTTGGGTGCGAATGAGTGATGAACTCTATATATTATAACAACATTTTTCGTTGTTGTAAATTACATTGTAATGCCCTACAATATAATATAACGACTACATGTATGTTTTCATTTTGCAGTGAAACATTTTCCATGCTACCGGTAATTGATATATAGTTATTATAGTGTTCACGTTCTGAATGTACACAATATTATCCTTACAAATGTTCTGATGTTTCTGGATTATTGTTACATACTTATCACTAATAATACCCAGTTATGGTGTTATATATTATTTGTATATTGGCCAAAAAACACATTTGTATTTTAATTGCAATTTTTGATTAATGATTAAAATACAGAATAATTCTTTTTTTTTTCCCCTTTTTTTTCATGAGTGTTTACTGAATTTAAAAATTACAACTACTATTAGATAATCAGGGATAATGAAATTACTTGGTAATTCTTGCAAGCAGATTTTTTTTTTTTTTTTTGTCTTAACATTTATTCAAAATTTCTTTTGATGATAAACTTTAATACTCTGTTCACATCAATGTATATTTCATATGTATTTTAATGTGTAGGTTTATTTGGGGAGGGTTTTTATAAGTACCCTTTAATTATTATTATAATTTAAAACTCATTTTGTTGCCAAAAAAGTAATATTTAGATTATAACCAAACCATTAATCTATGCAAATGCATCTTGAAATATTGTGAAACCTTCGTTTAGTGGAACAACTTAGTTATACAATTCTGGTTATTTTTGCCTCGCATGTACTTTTTGATAATTTATATTTCAAATGATATCTCTATTTAGGAAGCTTAATGTTCAAATTTGAAATGTTATTTATGTCTCATGTTGTGACAGATTACAAGCTGGGTTGTTGACATGTGTTATTATTTGTTAATAAATGTCATAGTTATAATCTATTGCTCAATAAAATCATTTTGTGACTTTGAGATTTCCTTTTTAGCCTTTATAATCTATTGTAATGTTAAGAATGAGTTGTGTTTGCAATAGTGCATGTGTTGTGACTTGTGACAATTTTGCGTGTACATGCTTGATGCTTCCATTTTATAAACTTGACTGCGTTTCCGTTTTTAGCAGGTGCTTTGGTGTTTGCTTGTGTCTTTCATAACAATTAAATAAAACAAATACAGATTAAAGCCCCTCTACAGTGTTGGGTGCCCCAACAATTTGATGGCAAAATTTCACTTAAATCGTATAATAATTTGAAGAGGTGGTCATTTCAGACACATTTCTGCAAGGATTTTCAAAACAAATGTGTTTTAAGTTTAATATTGATGGGGGGGGGGGGGGGGGAATGAAGAAAAAAAAAGCAAATTTTTTTGGGGGGGGTACAACAGAAAACCTTAATTATTTATTCTTTTATAAAAATTTGTATTGAAACTTTCTTCTTTTTTTTGGGGGGGGGGGGAGGGGAGGGAATATTTGCACAATATGATACCATTTTAATGAAATTTTGACATGGGCTCCCAACACTTTAGAGGGACTTTAACAGAGGAACCTTGTTATAATGAGGCTTCAGTGCATGCACCAATTCAATTTTAAACAATGTCACTAGAAACAGGAAGGATATAAAAACTAAAAAAGAACACAGAAAGTTTAAATTGAACTTGTTTTTTTTATTAAACAATGTTAACATATAATCAGCTGTTTATCAAATAATATCTTTGGCATCTCATAATAGGCAAGCAGAACATAATGTTATTGCTTAGTTTTATACATATGTACATCAAACTACAAAGTTTATCACAAACATTTGCCAACTTTGTACTGTTTATCAAATAATATCTTCGGCATCTCAAAATAGGCAAGCAAAATATAATGTTATTGCTTAGTTTTATACATATGTACATCAAACTACAAAGTGTATCACAAACATTTGCCAACTTTGTACTGTTTATCAAATAATATCTTCGGCATCTCAAAATAGGCAAGCAAAATATAATGTTATTGCTTAGTTTTATACATATGTACATCAAACTACAAAGTGTATCACAAACATTTGCCAACTTTGTACTGTTTATCAAATAATATCTTCGGCATCTCAAAATAGGCAAGCAAAATATAATGTTATTGCTTAGTTTTATACATATGTACATCAAACTACAAAGTGTATCACAAACATTTGCCAACTTTGTACTGTTTATCAAATAATATCTTTGGCATCTCATAGTAGGCAAGCAAATAAAAGGCAGTAATACAAAGATGAATCAGGCTATGAAATATACCAGCAAATTGGCTTTAAGTAGCTAATGAACAGGATTAAATGTACAATTAGGATTATCATCTTTCAGTGTACCCATTGTACAGAGAATATCAGCTTTTGAATTAACTAGCATGTCCAAAAATTAAATCATCAACTTCTCATCATCGTATATTAATAGTTCTTGTCAAAAGAAATATCAAATTTATGTTCTTTTGGCAATAAGAAATGTTCAAAAGGCATGAAGGTAATCATTATCATTCATACATACTTGGAACACAGAAAAATTGTTTGAAATACATTTGCATATCTTGAAATAAGAAACAATGTTATTGCTTAGTTTTATACATATGTACATGTACATCAAACTACAAAGTTTATCACAAACATTTGCCAACTTTGTACTGTTTATCAAATAATGTCTTTGGCATCTCATAGTAGGCAAGCAAATAAAAGGCAGTAATACAAAGATGAATCAGACTATGAAATATACCAGCATATTGGCTTCAAAGTTTATCGTAATACAAATACACAGATAGTACAGTACGCATTAAGCAGCCAATATGAACATTTCATACACATGGGTTGTATAAAGGCAGTAAAATGTTCTCTAGACAGAATCAAATACAAATTTCCATGTCACAATAAGAAAACTTGGCAAGTTATTATCACACATACACCCTGTACATGTACTCTATTCAGTAGTACTACTATTCAGCCATGCAAACACGATCAAAACTTAACACAATCTACTGTTGAGGCTTTAGAGTCGATATTATGCAGAACGTTAACATAATTCAGAAGTCCTATTCGTTATCGGCAGTGTCTCTAATCTCTCTGATGAGGGAGTGCTGTAGATTGACTAGAGAGCAACAGACTTTCACAATCTTTTCAGTGTAGCACCTAAGGTAGGGGGGAATGAAAGTGAGAATCCTGAAGTCCTTCAGGCGGGCGTTGGCTCTTTCCACGTGGATCCGGCACTTCGCAATGTTTTTGGTGATCTTCACCTCACTCTCGCTGAACTTGCCGTTAGACAGGAAGGGGGGTATGTTGATTGCAACACCTGGTGGCACAATGTCCTGGATGAGAAAACCCTTGTCCGCAAGGATGAGGTCGCCGGCCTTGAAATGGGTTAGGATATCGCATTCCTTTACTACTGCCTTGTCAGACACTGACCCTGGAAATAAGTTGCTGCAATAAGTGATCACAGCATTTGGTGCTACACCAAGGAGAAGTTTAAAGGAATGCATTCCTCTATATGAAGAGTATGTTCTCTTCTGGTCGCTCATTAGCTTCGGAGCAGCAATTTCCACATCGGTGCAGTCGATGACCATTCTGCAACTCCCAAAGAGTTGGAATGCGTCTGGCATGGACAATTTGTTCTTTTCGCGGGATGGGACGGTCTTCATTGTGTCTTCGTAGAGTAGATCAAATAAGATGTGGAGGAATGTGATGACGACGTTGCGGATTGTGGCAGTGCTGGTGTGAAATAGTTGGGATAGATGTAAATTTGTATAGTTTTGGCGCAGCTTCATGAGCGTGATGAAGATCTGGTCCTGGAATGATATTGCTTTGACTCGCCAGCCGCTGAAATATTCTATGTTATCCTCAAAACGTTGTAGGTACCCGGTGACAATTTCTAGAATTTTCTTGTTTGGGAGTCCTGTCTCCATACACACAACTTCATCTGTCAATGATTCTATGCTGTATTTTTCTCTCCTGTAACCGGCAGTGGTTTGAAGATCTTTCAGTTCTTTTGAGGTCTCTTCTAACTGTACTTTCAAGATTACATTATCAACTTTGAGTCTGTTTGTCTCACTTGGTCCCGGATCAGTGCGTGTAGCTGGTTCAATTCCTATTGCTGTCGTACATGCATCAGCAGTACTCAGTTGTTTAGTTTTGGTAGCTTTCTTTTTAGGGGCTGGCGTTAATGGAAATATCTTGTCGACATTACGTTTGAAGATCTCTGGTCCTCCCTTTTTCTTGCCGTCGCGGAAATGACATGCACAGACCCTCGAACTGCTGGTCGGCTCCTTGTCTTCACGCCTTAAAAAAAAGGGAGAAAGAAAACAATAAGTACACATTTTCTTAATGCAAGTCTAACATATATGACGTTTCAAAACATTTTGTTAAATCAAGTTTTACGGCATTCAAATTAATTTTACTAAAACTCTCATCAATTCAATTTAATACTGCTAGAAAATCTAGAGTCTATGCAATCTAGACCCTCTAGCCTAGGTTAATAAATAATAATGATAAGACTACTACGTTTTGATTTAAATGGCTGGCTCTTGATCTGACTTGGCTCTGGTCTGCCAAAAATGTTGAATTTGATAAAAGTTTCTAGTGTAGAGCCGAGATCTAGGCCTAGTGCCAGTGGAGAGCCAGCAGAGGGTCTACTATTTTTTACTTTATTCTTATTTATAATCTTACTCTTAAAATACAATTAAGAGAGGTAACTCAATCACAAACATAAACAATTCATCCCTTTATGTGTAAAGGTCAACAGAGTATAAGTTATATTGAAGAGTTTGGGGTAAAAGTCGGTATTTCGATCGATGTTGTCACTGGGCTTTTCGGATAAAATTTGGTGAGCGTGCGCGACCACAGTAGGACCGCCGCCCTAGCGCCGGCGTAGCTGTGTGCTTAAGAGGGGTATCGTGCACCCAATACAGCTGGATAATTGGGCGTGCGATAGAGGAAAAAGCCAACTGTTTTAACGTCATTTTTACCCAAAATTGAGATACTAAAAATAAGTTATTTACCTGATTTGTCTAAGCCACTTTCGCTTTACTTGTGGATCCTTCGGAAATCGATAAAAACGGCAGACTTCACGCTCGGATTGATGATTGCAATCGGGAACAAAACACTGGCCCATACTAAAGTACGTAAGCGGACATTTTGAAAAGATAGTGTAGAGCCAACCCGTTCGTTGTCCCGACAACGTGACGTCACACTTCGGAGCTCTATAAGATGGATGAAATACAAGAGAAGGAGGCCAATGTGTAAGGGATGGTGTGATGAAAATGGGTCACATCATCATCTTAGATTTCCTCCCCCTCCCTCCCCCACTTTCTCTCCCTACTTTTTCTCTCCTTTTTTGTCATTCAATTGGGGGAGGGGCGCTTCCCCCTGGCTACACCACTGATCGTCACTGCTCAGGACTAATATGAGGACAGGTAGCTTGATATTACATACCTCACAAAGGTGTTATCATCCTTGGCACGACTGGATGATTTCATTTTAGCCTCGGTAGACCTATGCATGGTGGTTCCTTCATTAGGCAGTGATGACATTACCCCTCTCCATGCTTAGATAGTCCCAGTCACTACCTATCAAAATCGATTGGATTGACCTTAAGTGACATAGTTCTGGAATGGTGTAATGTATTGCACATGAATTTAATTTAATCACGATCCTATGGATTTCATTAAAATGTGTGTATCTTTTTATCAGTCTCCACACTCCAGATGTAGCACATGGGTGATGAACATGTATTTATCATCATCATCATCATAATCACTACAACCACCGCCACAACCCCCTCCATCATCATCATCACTACAACCACCACCACCTCCACCACCATCATCATCATCATCATCATCATAAACATCATCTTTATCACCATCATCATCTTCGTCATCACCACATTGTATTCAATAACGAAGAAGAATATCAATTTCACTTCTTAAATACTACCATAAGCATGAAGTTCAAAGGAATTACAATGGAGAGTGAATTTGATTGAAATTGCTTTTTACATCAAGGTTTATTAATTACACCCAGAGAGCATTCTTTACACCAGTTTATTATTCATTTCCATTTGTTTTAAGTAGGTCATGATTGATCAGTCAGTTTTATATGAGGTATTCATTGGAGCATATAGCCAATTAAATACATCCTTTTTTTTAATTATCCAATGCTATCTAATTCTAGTTTTAATTCTTGATAGATGTTATCTTCAACATCTTAAAAGGATCTTCTAAATTTTATAATTCACCAGATTTTTTGTTCTTTACTTTGAGCTTTCCTCATGCTTCATCATTCATTGCATTGTGTTATTCTGTGATAAACACACAATGTCGGTTTCCATTCAGAAATAGGATGATTGGTTAGGGATAGAATGGAATCCAAATGTGTATAACACTGAAGGTGTTTGATCATATCTATTTAGATACATCACCACTTCCTTGTCGGTGTGAAAACGCTTGAGAAGATGGAAGGGGAGATGAGTGTTGTTGAAAATCCCGTCTATGCGCATCGGATGGCTGATAAATTAGAGCCGTAATCCAATATGGCAGCAATCACAACTTTGGGCCATTGCGGTGTTGGGGAGAGTCAGACAGAAGACATGAATAAGTGATGAATGGGCTCCCGCACGCAGCGCCGGCCGTACATGTGTTAAACATGCGCCGGAATCAGCCGGTACGAGAGGGCAGCATTGTCGCCGTCATCATCGACGATGGGAGCAGCGGCGCGGGGCGGCCATTCCTCAAGATGGTAATGACATCGTCGCTTGAATTTATGAACAATGTCTCCAATTTCACCAGCAGAAATATTACGATGGTCCCCGGGGACGCATAAAGGGGCCCTGATTTGGCAAACGCGACCTTTGACATCCTGTGTGTCTAAAGAGGAGCGGACTGTCATAGCTTACAGAGGTTTGATGAGATTAATTACTCATCGGAGACTCACAGAGATATCTCATGTCAGGGATATATTTGTGATTGTACAATCATGTATGTATAGGCCTACATGAATGGAGAACTCCGGCTGTGAATTCGTATGAATAGTTATTCCTTTATTTTTGTCAGATTCATTATGTGTATGAAAACTACCGGTACACAAATGTCTTTGAGTTATAGATAGCTCTACAAGCTTTGATGAATTGGATAATTGACAGTATTGATAATAATCCATTCTTCTAGAGCGCAACATAGAATTATGATGTATAATGTCCCAAGATATAAAGTGATGGATAGCCTATGAATCATATTGAACACCAGGATTGTAGAAGTGAGTAGTTTCTTTACTAGCCCCTTGCATTTTGTACATTTCTTTAAGCGGAGATGACCTAGCCTTATATCCATATGAGATCTCATCTTAATATGTCCTTTCTTTAGAGGGTGAGAGAACCAGGAATTAGCCCAAAATGTGATTGCTATTAAAACTAAATCCATGGAGGCCTATTTGACATACAATAGGTGAAAGAACATCCCTTTTCTATCAGATCTTCAAAATTCTCCAATTCCATATTATGTTAAGATATAAAGTTTATTGTTGTTTAAGGATATGTTTATGGAAAAAAAGTTTAATTGACCCTATGTATCATGTTTCAAATAGCTACGGGATAGGTGTGATGGTGGCTAGTCAGAGGGATGACATAAGAAAAAAATGTTTTCTTGGTTTGGACAATATGTTGGCTTGTTGACTTCCTAGTCTGTATTTACTCTAGAGATTATCATGGTATCACTATCATATTTTCATAACATATGGCTGAGTAGGCAGGGATATGCAGTATCATTTGCCACATTTTCCATCCCATTACCCAACAATCCTCTCCATCTCCTTCTCCTCAAACATTCTTCTCCCATCCAATCGACAGCTCTCACGTCGGTCGTCGGCGGAGGGTGGGCGAGCGAATTCCCCGTGGTTGAAGTGTCGGCGCGCATCACGCTCGCCGTGCGCACCGTGACGTGTGAGAGCTCATCATGAGCCCGTGTAATCGCGTGGAAGGTGTGGGGGCACCGCGCCACTCTGGGGTCCGCCAAACTTGAAATGGACGTGAAGTAATGAGAAAGGAGTTTTGACACTAGTGAGATAATTGCATGGAAGTTTTGGCACCCAGAAATAGATTGTTTTCCACTTGGAAGTCAGTGTAGCTGTTCTCTTTCTTTCCTTCATGAGTTGGTCATATATTTGGGGTGTCGTGTGTTTGATAGCGGTAAGAATCAGTGCTTCCAGCAAGTAGAATCCGATCATGAATCATTAAGTGACTGTAATAGAGTCATCTGCTCTCTAGGACTAAATCCACTCTCACATTCTTGCATCGTGACTTCAAGAGTTTTAGAATTGGTGTGATGGAAATTTTCCACCTCAGGAAGCCGTTAGAAGAAAACTTAACAGTGTTTCTAAAAAGAGAAGAGCAGAAACATTGTTCATGTATTCTTGTCATATGGAACACAGAAAATCCCCCTGGCTCCTCCCTCCAAACCAAAAATGTACTCTTAAGTTCATGGAACAAGAGTGTAATGTACATTTTCATCTTATATCTGTGAAACTAGTAATAGTGTGTACCGGTAGTACATCATAACTACTGGTAGGTTATTTGGTTATAATTTCGGAGGAAATTAGTCAAGAGACAATTAGAGACAAGAGACAGAGTAATATTGTAACATTGGAAGAAGGTTTTACATAACCAGCAGTTTTTTTCAGACAAGGACAGTAATGTTGTAGTTGAGTGGTTTGAACACTTGCCGCTCCATACCCGGGGAGAGATTCTATAAGAGGACAATAGTAGCTACGGCGACTCTACATTTGTAGTATTCCTCCACAGGGACCATATGGTAGAAATACCCATGAGGGAGTGGAGAAGGTGCATTCATTTTGTGCATAAAAGAATCCATTGACCAGGATAGAATTTTCAAAGATGAGTTATGGACTGAGTGAAGTATCAATATCTAGATGCTTATCAAATCAAATTGAAAGTTTACTATAATATGATGTGAAAAAGGGCTATTTATTTGTTAGAAAATATTGTAATCTTTCTAAAACGACTGTTTCTGACTCTGCAGCTGTCTCGACCAGGGACGACACTTTAGAGCAGATGAATACTACTTCCCATTATAACTTATTGGCAGTTCTTTATAGTTCTGAATTGCAACTCGGGCTTTGACAGGGTTAATTAACGCCTGCTTATTTATTTTTTATTTCATTTCTTAATGGGTCATTTCAGAAGTTGGTTGTGCAAACCATTAAAACTGGTCTGCTTCACTCTGAACCCTTTCATCTTTTCAGGATGCACACATGCTAATTTCTCAGTAGGAAACCTGAAATCCTTTTGATCTCACCGCTTGTTCTCATTAACGCCTCATCATCTTAGCCGCCATAATATTGAACTCCCAAGCATATTACCCACAGAGAGTTAGAGGTGTAACAATCTTTACCAGGCTCTAGCTCATAAGCGGTTATCTAAACCTCTCTTAAAAGTAAACACAAGATCCTATGCGTCTCTTTACCATCGCTTTATCCATTTCTTTGAAATCCAATCACTTTCCTTTCCGGCTTGATGGAAAGTCTCCTCTTTTTCAGAGGCCCGTGAGGGAAGTTCATCACCCTCACTCTGGGTATCCTTGATGTTTTTGTGGAGGATAGGTCACACATTTGTATCTCACTTGTCCCTTTCTCTGCCTGACATGGGGGAGTTGAGGAGGAAGAAGCACCTTTCAAGGCTAACACGCCCGTCTCAAGACCCTTACCAAACCACCTGTTAGAGACCTCTTGCTGATTCCAAACCAAGTCCCATTGTGTCATCCACTCCCTGATTAACCCTCACAACCCTGATCCACTTCTTCTCTATGTCTTATGTGTATTATTTTAGAGGATGGGGCCTAGAGTGGGTTAAGGCATTCTCACCCTGTCTATATGACCACTTGCTGGAGAGTGTCTATGCGTTGATTTCTTTAATATATAGGCAATCAGCTTTAAAAGGCAATTGAATCAAATATAGATCAACCATGTAATGTTCCTATTGCTGTAGGGAATGAGTTAGCCAGAGACCACCTGTACAATGCCCTTTGGTGACATCCACCTTCTAAATTTCTCATTACGTCTTTCTTCCCGTCTTATCCGCTCCCACCCACCATCATCATCCTT